TAAGTATGGTATTCACCTTTGTTTCAGCATTATTGTACTTATGTTGTTTAGCTGGTCAAGGAGCAGATGTTAAGTTAAATTACAGTTTCCCAGAATTCAGTTACAATTCCAATAAAAAGTTAAATGATATTACATTCTTTCCTGTCACAAGTCTTGTGGATAATGTCATTGAAGGGAATGAGTTGATACAGGTTGTACTTCTTCCAGGACCAAATTTTGCTAACATTCAAATTATACCAGCACTACAGATAGCTACTATAACAATATTTGATAAAACAAGTAAAGTAATTACATGCATCAAATATTTTAAAGATTTTAAATTTTAGATAGCCCCACTAGCCTGTCAATAGAAAGAAGATCATACAATGTGATAGAGGGTGAAGGGAGTTTAGAAATATGTGTTGTACTAACTGGAGATATCTCATCAAGCTCAGTGAATATCAGTATTCTTGATTCACAAGGAACTGCAAAGCGAAACTGTAATTTGCTTATTATTATGTCTTGTGTACTTCACTCCCTATATAGCTGACTACACCTTTAGTAGTAATACTTTAACTCTGCCTGCTTTTAAGAACAAGACCTGTACAAGTCTTCATATTATTAATGATAACTTACTGGAACCATTGTATGAGAGTTTTACATTATCAATTTCTAGAATAACACCTGAGAATAGCAACTTCATTTTAGAGAGTACCCCATCAACAATTCAAATACAAGATAATGAAAGTAAGCTGAATATTATTGCATATACTTTTCATATCAGTATTTTTGTGCATAAAGGCTTACATTTTCATTGTCCTGTAAGATCTGCTGTAGTATATTAACAAATTTATCATATATAGCAAACCTTATTTTAGCCATTGCGGATTTAGAACAATAAATGTACATGACTGTATCAAATATAATTATTGCATACTGATTAGATGCAACAAATTGAATATTAACAAATCTGGCTGCCCACCATGTAATGAAACTAAAAGCACATTTTTTAGCAATTATAGTATAGTGCGTGGGTGCACCAAAGGCACCACCCGTCATACAGCACACTTCCAGTTCATATAGCACACTTCTGGTTCATATAGCACACTTCTGGTTCATATACAGACAGTTTGTGGTTTCATGTGTTATATAAACTGAGACTGCCCCCAATAATGTAATTAATTTTTTGTTATTTTTATTTTAAATTTAACTCAGTTCACTCAACTTCACTGTTCACTTTCCATAATGAATATTAAATTTAATAGTGCAATGCCTTAGATCACCTCTCGTACTGTATTTCCTGTAAAGCACAGGGAACCATGCTTTAACTAATACTTAAAGTTTATACTTGAATCTTTTGTATATGTTATTATGTACAGTGCCACTACAATTAACTGAGGATGTAACTGTACACTGCTACAGATCTGCTGCTGATTGTACTAGTAATACTAATGGAGTCAGTCTTGCAGCTATTGACTGCTGTAATAGAACTGGTGGAGGATATATATCTCATTCTTCAGCTACACGTCAATGTGGTGCATGTGTTGGTAAGTATAGAGTTTTTATTTTATATTCATTATTCACTAGTTGTTGGTTTTGATCAATCACGTGTGCATATTGGTCCAAGTGATGCTGGTAGAAGATACTCATTTACTGCTGATGTACTCCTCAGTACTCCTGGGGCTCCATCAGTTGGTAGTCTTACTTGGAATATTTCACGACAGCCAGAATCACTAGTTGATAGTAAATTATACTAGATCTAGATCTGTTTTTTTATGTTGAGTTTATCTTTCTGATTAAAGTTGCTGACTATTTAGTAACACCAGAGTTTAGAGGACAAACTTCTGTTAGCCTGCCTTATCGTTTTAGTCTACAATACATTTCACAAGGAAATACAATTGCTCTCGAACCAACTCTTTCATTTGATTACTCAATAGTAATAAACAACATTGACTCAATTCCATCAAGTGTTGTACTTGTACACAAAAATCTTAGCATTAAAATTGATGATATAGACAGTAAGCTGCCAAGTGTAATTAGTAATTACCCATTATTTCTCATAATAGTGCTTACTGTTGGTCTTGAACCTCCATCAGTATTTTTAGAAGGTAGTAATGCTGTAGCTGTCATTAGACGTCAAGTAATTACATATAAAACTCCTTTTGAAGTTACTGTCTCACTTGAGAGGTATACTGGCTCATTGGCTCCTGATGAAGATGCGGTGGGAGACTTTGGTATGAAAGCTAGTATAATAATTAATCAGTTACTTCATTTGTCTATCTACAATGCAGATGGTTTTAACTTTACTAAACAGCATAGTGTGGTATTTCAACCAGCAAAAGCAAATGACGAACTCTTCAAGAGAGTAACTTTCTTGATGCCAACTGATGGTATTGTAGAACTACAAGAAATGTTTCAATTGAGACTTAGTGTTAATGATTCTAGAGTTAGGGTAAATAGCTATACTGAGACTCAAGTAGTAAGACTTGACAATCGAGATGGTAAGTTATTGGTCAACGGGACAACATTAATTATTGCTCTTTTATCATAGTTTTTAGTATTGGTTTCAAAGATTTACATGTTACTATTAGAGAAGGAGAAGTGGCAACATTAACTATAAAACAGATAGGAGATGAGACTGGTGGTGTAGGCATAGGAGGATTTCCACAGAACCGTCTACAACCAGTTCGATGGAGACACATATCTGGGACTGCTATAAGTGGTTAGTTTTACCATTCACAATTATTAATAATAATAACAATCATAGGTAGTGATTTCCTCCTTAATCCTACTGTTTCAAGATTCACTTTAAGAGCCAATAATACACTGAATGATATTCCATTCCAGCCTATCACTAGTATTGATGATAATATCATTGAGGGAGATGAAACAATAAGAATCATCATAAGACCTTACACGTATGGTCATATTCAAGTAGTGAAGGAATGGCAGACAGCTACAATTACTATTGTTGATGATGACTAAATTTAATTATTATAAATGAAGGAATTCAATACATAAAATAAGAGTCTATAATGAAAATAACATTAATATAATAATTATGATAATTATAATAATAAATTAAAAATAAATAATACTACAATGATGATAATAAAAAGGGGAGAGGAGAATTTAAAAAAGAAAGAGGGAAAAGGAGCAGCAACAATTAGAATAATATCAAGAACAACAAAAATACTTAATGACACAAAGTAAAGACTATCTAAAATAATAAAAATTATGATCTCATATTGTCCACATACACTTCAGTAGCCATGTCAAGGAGAACACTCACATACAATGGTCTGCAATTCGGTCTCACATCCAATACATTGATTTTCTTTATTTTAACTGCATTACAATTCTTTTCCCATAAGTTGTATATAGCTTTAACAATGTCATTATTGAGTAAATGAGAATTTAAACTCAATTTGAAGTGAGGGACATCAGTTAATGAGAGAGAGGAGAAGATACTTTGAATCATAACGAGAAGACTTGGAGTAGAAATGCACCAATTCATTAAACCAAAATGACGTAAGAGGTGAGCTTTTTCAGATATGAGGCTAGTGAACAAGTTAATGACATCATCAGATATAGTCATGATGATATTCCATTCCCGAGCACTGACAATACGAAACAATGAAGATACAGCAGATGAAGTTTCTTTAATGAAACTATAATATTCTATGAAAAACTTTTAACTTTAATAGACTCCAGACCTGCAAGTGATGAGAGAAAACACAATGGCTCTGGCAATATTTTGAGAGAATTAAGAACTAAATTATGAGGAAGGCGAGAGATGAAATTAGGATAGAGCATACAGCGAGTTATATCCAATGACTTGTTAGATTCTTGATCATGGTTGACAATGAATGGATCAGTGAGTGGTGGTGAGTCTGATGGGCAATCAACACATAACCTCATGGTAACTGGATTTGGTGACAAGAAAAAACTACAAAACAATATCAAAAGGACATCAAGTGAAATTTGACGTGTTGTAAGAGCTAATTCTCTAAAGACAGATCGGAAGAGTAAATC